GCTTCCTGCAGTTCTTAAAGGGAGTTGTTTCTCATTCCAGCTTCTGTTGATGCGTATTTCAAAGAAGAAAGCAGAATATTTTTGTTCATTGGTTATTTCAGGAAGAACTTAGGATCACTCACTGTCCTAGAGCCAGGGGAAGGGCTGGTTTACTGCGTTATCAGAAGCCCAGTGAGCATGACTCCAGCCCAAACTCCCCTCTTCCCGTCACCTGACTTTGAGAAGAGTGTTAACTCCTGACTTACCTGTTAGGACAGAGGTAACACCTCTAGGTGCTACTAATCCCGAACAGCGATGCGCTCACTGGTATCACATGGTGTAGTTTATGGTTTATTTTGTTGTTGGGGGTAGTTTGTTTGTTTGTTTGTTTGTTTTCACTGTGTGGTTCAAAAAGGGCACTGGCAAGAAGGAGGTCGGACAGGATATGTTGGGGTACAGAGGTGAAGGAAGCAGGTAGACATGGCCCATGCGGGAGTAATGGCATGAGCCGGGTCAGTGTCTTGAAAAATCGAGGAATGAATTCATGGACAAAGGAGGTAGACAGGAGCAATGCTTATTAAGAAGAAAGAACTAGATACCAATAGTCAGGAAGGGATCTAAAAGTGGGTGGCTACAGGGTCTACTTGTCTAGGAATTTTTATAACCCAAAATGAACAGTGCTCAGTTCACTGGGAGTCCAACTAAGGCCAACTTATTGTACTAAAACACGCGTACTTAAACTACAAATGGGCCTCTGAGGAGGAGAGGCAGTAGCAAGTGCGTGTCTGTATGTGCTCTTGGTCTCTATCCAATCTAAGTGGTTCATGAAGAGAACAAAGTGGGAAGGAAGGGCTGGGGATATAGCTCAGCTGCACAGCGACTGCCCGGCAAGAGCAACCTCATGAGTTCAATTCCCAGCACCAAAGCAAACAAACAAACAAAAACAAAGTGGGAAGGAAAAAACGGTTTCCATAGAGGAGCGGAAGCTGTCATAGTGGGCATCAACACCTTGCTTGTTCCTTTGCTTGTTACACTTTGGACTTAATTGTCTGCCTGGTTCTTGTTAACTCTTGACCTCAGGCTCCTCTTATGTGACCAAGGCCTGGGCATCCTGACTCTGTCTCAGTCCCAGGTCTTCCCTAGCTGCCTGCTGTCTTCTATCTAGCTTACCTGTCTACGACATAGGGTACCTCAAGGACCACTGAGGAGGGTGAGGAAGGCAAGATACAAATGAACTACAGAGAAAGGAGAGTGGTGGCTGAATAGAAACTTCCAGACTGGAGTGTGAAAACTGGAAGACAGCTCAATACGGGAATCTTCAGAGATTGGATCTGCAAGAGAATCAGCACCCAGGCTGCTGATGCTGAGGGCTCTGACCTTGGTGACCCAGCCATTGTCAGAGCTCCTGGGCTGTGCGTTCATGGCAGTGGCTAACAGAGAGTGGGATTGTCCTTGTATATTAACAAGAATAATCCCATCATTTCTTTCAGCTTTATACAAAGACACTGCCCCCCATAGCCAGTATACTTTTATGAGCTTTCCTATATTGCTGAGCTTTCCAACTCAAGGCAGCAAAGCAAACATAGTATCTTTTTTTCTGAGGTTTTAGGATGTCATGTTCAATAAGCAGCAAGTTCTCCAACATGGAAGATAAGTTCATCACATTCAATATTTGTACACACAAACTTTGAAAATTGGGCTTCAAATTCTTTCAAGATAAAAAAGCTTCACCAAGATCTGCTAATCAAGGTTGGCAATGGCATCAGTCTCTTCCTCCTCTTCTTCCTAGATACTGCAAGATATCTACTTTTTCGGACCATAGAAATCAATTGTATTCTTGAATTGTCAACAGTGTGCCCCAGGGAGTCGTGAAAAGTTAACTGGGATGGGCTTCCCAGGTGAAGCCTGCACAAACCTGATGACCTAGTCCCTGCCATGTACCGGTAGGACCCAAGATGGGCGGAGTCATGGGACTGCGTAAATTTATATTTTCTTCCCCGTCACTGGCAATTTTACGTTCTGTCACAAGTTTCCTACACACTTTAATGTTCAGGCTTTCATCTGTTCCCAAAGTCATGCTCCTCTACTCTTAGTTACTTTCCTGTCCTTGCTGAGACAAAATACCCAACACCCAAAGTTAAAAGAGGAAATATTCAGCTCACACTTTGTGGAGGTTTCAGTCCATAATCAGCTGGCTCGAAGGCAGAGTGGCAGATGGCGGAGGAGCAACAGGTCATGGTGGTGGAAGACAGCAAAAGCACCAGTGGAGAGCGAGACAAGGCTCTTTCTGTCCCTTATATGGTACCCAGTCTACCAGGATAAGGGTGGTGCTAATCCAGTCAGTGGACTGATCCACCTGTCACCCACCCTTAATCCCAGCATTCCACTATGCATCAATCACACACTTTAGATTCAGGCACTTCTGAAAAAAATCCTGTGACTACATGAGGTGTTGGGGGGACATTTAGACACAAACCAAGTAAGACAGAACTCAACATGTTGCTGTTCGTCAATTGGCTATTTATAGGTAGGTGCAGGGACAGCAGTTTGAAAAGCACTGTATTCTCCCCAAATGTCCCTTTACCGCTCTGCCTCTTATTTTAAGTGATGTTAAGACATGACTGTGGGTCTACTGAATGGACTCTTTCCTTACAGTGTGTTGTGGCATCTTGGGCTCTGTTAATTTCTTTCCATGTGTGACTGTTTAGAGAATGACCACGATGTCAGTTAGGTCTGGTGTGAATTCTCCCATTACTGATTTAGCATTCTTGCTTTGAAGTTTTCCCATCTGACTCATTTTTACCTGGACTGTTTGGTTGGAAATTGGTTTCACCTGTGGAGATTCCAAGTCAAGCTATCTTGAGAACTAGAGAATATACATTTTGAAAGAGTCATGCATTGTCCAGGACTGAATCTTAGCGTTCCCCACATCTCTTTGGGGACTAGAAAGCACAGTGAGGCTAGCGGAAGCCTCCCTAGTTCCCAAGAGAGTTGTAGGAGAATTTTGAGTTCTCTACCATTTAGGATGCTCCTGGAGAGACCCAGCAAAAGTAAAAGAGGGATCCTCTCTCCTAAGCTGTGAGTAGGGTTTCCTGACAAGCTTGGTCTCTAACCCTGAAAATGCCATGCACTTCTCTGACTCAGCCCTTGAGTCACGCTATTGAAGGGTGGCATGAAAATGTCACCCCCAAGTATGCCACTTTGACATAAAGATTACTTTGAGCTAAAGGCAACTGACACCCAGCAGATGCAAGTAGGGCATGCTCATAGTCTTCCCTTTGCTTCCTGAAAGATGTGAAAGACGCCCTTCTTGTCCCAGGAGAAGCGAAACATTCTGAATAAACAGACCTTGCCAAGATAGTTCTTATCTTACCCTGTCCTCCCTGCAGAATTTATTTTTCCACAATTGCCTCTTGGTTCATGCAAAAGCATGGAGGTTTTACCATGTGAGTCGTCATTTCTTTCTGAGAGTTCTGTAGACACACGCAATGTATGAAAGTTGAATTCTTTTCTCCTGTTAATCTTTTTATGTCAATTTAATTCTCAGGCCCAGTTTGTTCCTTCAGCAGGGAGAGATAAATTTTCCCTCCTCACGCTATTAACCCACCACACACGCACACACACACACACACACACACACACACACACACACGAGGACTATTTTCCTGTTGTCTGCCTAAAAATTCTCCCATTCCCTGAAAGTTCCCATAACAGCCAAAAAATGTTCTCTCTACCTTAATTCCCAGGAGTAAGTTCACTCTGTTTTACATTGTTACTTCTGGCCTGGTGGAAAGCATGTCTCGCTTATCTCCCTTCGGCTCCTGGGGTAAATTTTCAGCCCCCTCCTGGTGCCCCCGCTGCCGCTAACCGTGACTACCCCACCCCACAGAACCACCCAAGGGTAGGGCCACAAAGACCCACGGACTTCTCCAGCACGGCTCCTTGTCTCTCATTGGTAAAACTGTAACTGAAATCTGCCAGCAGATTCAGGGCTCCTCTGACCTGAAGGGAAGGATAAAGTTCACAAAGGCAGCATCTCTTTTCTAACCTTGAGAATACTGAGCACAGTGGATATAACAATCTTCCCACTAAGGCTGCTACAGAATCAACAGGAGCATTTGGATTTGCCCTCCAGTGAATCCACGTATTTAGTAATGTTTACTGAGCACCTAAAATGTGCCAAGCACTCTATAGATGGTAAGAATATAGCAGGGAATAAAGCAGACAAGATCCCTATTTCATGAGGTCCAAGTAAGAACTGGAAGAAGGTTAGGGAAAAGTATTATAAAGGAAAGTAGGTCTGGCAGAAAACCTTGGACATGCAAAGGTCCTGAGGCAGGAGCAAGCTTTGTGGCTTCAGGGAAGACAGGAATACCTGTGTGGCTGCCATAAATTATCTGAGGTTAAGAGCAGTAGGTGATAAACAGAGGAAGTCACAGGCAATTGTAGGACTTTGGTCTTTTCTCTGAAATGGGCACCAATGAAAGTTTTTGAGGAAGAATTGACATGATCTGTTTTAGGCGTTAAATACCTCACTCTGGCCAGTGTGATCAGAGTAGAGTGAGAGAAGGTAGTGGCTCCGACCAGGAATTGAACAGTGTAAGTCCCGGCAGTGTTTTCTGGAGGACCAAATGTGGACTGTGAAACAGAAAGAGGTGTCCAAAGGGCCATTCCAGGAAAAACTAGGACAGACAAGGTGAAGGCAAGAGCCTGGGGTTCCTCTTTTCTCAGAATCTCACTGTTTTTCCGAGGAAAAGTGACACTCAGTGGGTTAGTTACTCTAGGTTCTATCAAAGCCATGGGTACTGAGGTGTGAATGACTGATTTTCACTCCCTAGACAACACTTAATTCACAGATTTTCACTTGCGAACAACCTGCTGACTTGTTCAGTTTCAAATGGAATAATGTGCTGGGAGAGTTTTGAACAGACTTGATACTGTGAAGGGCGGAACTTGAAAACAATCTAGGCTTCTAGGTCTTGCAAGGGTATTACACTTCATCAGTCTCATGCACTACTAACTGCTCACAAACCATTTATTCAACACATTTTGAGGACATTTATGAAGCTCCAGGTACTGGACACTGAGGACATAAAGACAGACCAAATAGGGATCACGCTGGTCTCATGGAGCTCACAGCTAATTAAAGTGGACAGTCAGGCCGAACAGACAAACATACGATGACGGAGTCTGGTCAGCGACAGCCGCAGGGCGTCAGAGATGAGGTAACAAGTAGACACAGTCACTCCTTCTCCACTTCTGCAAAGCAGTGCTCTGCCCCATGACAGCCACAGAAAACATTCAAAGCTAAAGGGAGAGATCAGGAAATAGAAAAAAAATTATATTATCAAACGATTGTAACATCAGCAATGTGATCTAGGTCAGAATACAAACTTTCCTCTGTATTCCAAAATCAAAGACAGTTAAAGTACAGGAGTTTTGAAATTTTCAATATAGTCTTAAAAAATACTACATAAACATTCCCAGAAGTTAATTGTATCTTTGTTTTTATAATGAATAAGTGAATTAAAAATACATTCTTTAGTTATATGAAAAGATATAACCAGAAAGCTTCACGTAGCTGGGGCGATGGAAATACACCATTCTGCCTGGCTTGCACTTGGTATTTTTCAGACTGTTATTAGAAAAAATTATAAAAGAGATAAAATATGTTAAATTTCCTTGCTTCTTTATTTGGAGAAGTCTACAGATACATTAGACTAATTCTAGTTATTTTTTGTGTGTACTTTTCAGAAAGAAAAGAAATTATTGAAATAGTTAAAAATTAATATTTATTTACTTATTTAAATAAAGCTAAAAGAAAGAAAATTAAAAACAAAATTTACAAATATCATTCTAGGGGAACTGATGACAAAAAGCCTTCCAATGTTGCTCTGTCTGTATAAATCATATTCTTATATTTTATTTCAATTTTATTAAAATTGAATAAAAGGACACTGAGTTGCTTTTTTCAAGTAGATATTAATAAAATGTTAGTTAAGTATAAGACTAAGGATTAACTAGATTTTAAAGATTATGAAAACACTGACTCTAACCAGATACAGTAGAGACAGACACAAAGTCTAAGCCCACATTGTACAAGTTTAACAACTACTAAGTTAATCTTTTAAAGCTTTTTTATCCTGAGCTTTGGAAAGCCCAGTTGAGATGCTTATTCCTAAAATCCAAATTCTTGTTTTCTGATTTTTTCAATCAATTCAGTAACATGGAATCAGGTATAATTCTTGAATACACCCCCTTGGAAATGAAAATAGTGCAAATTCTCACTTTCTTCTTTAGGGAAACATTAACATTTAGGATCATGTGTACTAGAGGAAGGAGAAAAGATTTTTTTCTTCTATTTTACCTGTATTCTCTTCTACTTAGTTGACGCACCAATCATTCTCAGTAGGCCAGTTTTCAGGGGCTTAGAATAAGCATCCGTTTAGTCCAGAAATGCACGACAACAATTATTTATCAAAATTATTGTTTTTGTTGAGATTAATAAGAGTGCGTTCCTGCAAATCAAATATGTGACTGACACTACACGTACCCTTTTATAACTCCACACACACCTACTGTACAGTGAAGCACTGCATCAAAAGTGTTAGTATCCTGCCATCCTGTGGCTATAGGTGGTACTACAGTCCTGTCTTACTGGGCATCCTTACTAGCATCCCAAAGTATTTGAAATGCAGCTAAGACTAAGAATGAAATGACATCTAAAAAGAAAACATAAGGAAAGTTACGAAAACATAAGGAAGTATTCCAAACAATCTAAAATTGTTTTTTATCCTAAAAAAAAAACTTCCCTTTGAGTTAGGACTTCAAAAACACGATGCTTCATCTACCATTTTATTTTTTGTTTGTTTCTGTTTTTCTTCCAGTACCAGAAATCGAACTCACAGCCTTGCACTTGCCAGGCAGGTGCCTCACCACTGAGCTAAATCCCCAGGCCCCATGTACCATTTTAAATGTTAACATTTCTGACAGATACTTCCCCTGTCAATGGATTCGAGGAAAAACAAGCTAACATCTTAATAAGCAAAATATTTTCCACTGGAATGAACAAAAACACTGCAAGACCAAGCTGGGAAGCTTCTGATTGTAATAGGCTATTCACAGGACTGCTCTTTAAGTAGGAAGGTGAGTTTGATATTGTACCTGGAAAGGTGAGCAAGAATGTGGAAGACCATAGTAGCTCTCAAGCTTCAAGGGGATTAAAGTTCCTTATCCCCCAAGTTTTCTATACCCACCCTCAGCCCGACTTAGTCCTGGAAACACACAATAGGCTTTCATTTTTGTACTATAGCATTCATGCTAGAATCCTACATTTCATGAGACCCGTAACACAGAACATCCGTAAAAGATGGAAGGGCCAGAATGCTTATTCTCAATGCTTCCGCTCCAATATCGCACCCACTGCTACACAAAAGCCATCTTGGTGTGCGGCAATCAGAATAGTTCATCACTGTTACCCCAGCAAACGGTGCCCAAAGCTTGAGACCCATCCTAGCATTTCCTTCCAACAACCATCAGACTTCAGAGGTCTGGAAATATCTCAAGATCTTGCTGCAGTTTGCTCATCCAGCTTGAAAGCCAGCACTAGCGAGCCAATATGTACACTTATAAGTTTGGTTGGTGAGCTTACTGACAAATAAAAGGTAACCTGAGCTTTATGTCAAGTTACTGTTTACTTCAGACTTGAATAAAGAATGTGATTCCGTGATGTGCACTGACCCTTACCCTTGCTTTCTTGCCGACTTCAGGACTCTGCACCTCCTTCTTTTCCCTTCTCTGCTTTTGTTTATTGCTTTCAGCTCCCACAAACATCCTTCCCATTTCCCCCTCAGGCAGCTTGCATTTCAGTTCTGTCACAATCCAAGGTAGGTCTTCTGTAACACTGGATTTAAAAAAAAAAAGATCCCAGTGGGAGTCACGTTAAATTCACCGCAGGTTGGAGGAGGTTGGCTCGGATCTTCAGTCTGTCTCTCCTCAACGTTTGCTTTGTGGTCAGAACGGTGGCATCAGCCAATCTGACCTTTTAAACTGTCAAACTGGCTTACCGAGGGCAAAGGCCTTCTGCAAGAGTCACGTACACAAATTACAAATGACATTGGCTAAGCCAGATTTTTAAAGACTGCCAACATGATGCAATGGCTGGAAAAAGATTCTCTTGGATAAAAGGAAGAAAGGAAACAAAGAAGGGAGGGAGGGAGAGAGTGGAGGATTTGGAGGGAGGAGGAAGATCAGTCATTGAGCCCTTACCCGATGCTCTGTACATAGTATCTGAGCGTCTTGGTTATGCTGACCACTGAGAAACCTCTGACCATGCACATGTGAATGTGAATCTGAATGTGAGTTGAACCTTTTCTGACCATGTGAATGTGAATCTTTTCTGACCATGCACCATGTGTATTCTAGGCATTGTACATGTGGTCTCTTACTCTTTATAATGGCCCTGTGAAGTAAGTACTGCATTATTTTATTTTATTTTAAACGTGAGAAAACTCAGCTACTGAGAGAGATAAAGCATCTTCGCATAAAGCTGATTTGAAAGGAGGCAATTTGAAACAACAAGCAGAGCTTCAGCAGGGTGAGCTGAAGAGAGAAAGGTCTGAGCCCTGGAAAGGGTCTGGATGCTACCTGGTCCACAGCGAGAATACCGGTCCGCACCTGCGTTTCCGCGCTCCCTCTCCTCTTCCTCCTTCCCCTTCACCATCATCACCATCCTCATTAAATGTTACTGACTTAGGAAACTTTTTGCAGTTTGAATGTTGAAGTGCCTTTCCCATTTAAATTTTCCTTCCATCTTTTAAAGGGCAAATTGCTCCGGGGAGGTGACCTCTCTTTTTTTTTTTAATGCTAGAGATTAACAAAAGTTAAGTAGTTGCTATTATAACCCAATCTCTAGTCTCCAGTGTAAAGTTGGTGAGTTGCAAATTTAGAACAAATTGGTACATTAAAGGTCAGTTCCTCAGCGAGGACTCCGACATACTGCTTTTTTGCTTTTAAGTGGGGCATGAACTGAAAAGGGATGGATTTGCGAGGCATCTGGTGGCTGCTGTCCTTGGCGCTTTTTGGGGACCCCAAGTTCCCAGGACGAGGTGAGGAGGACCTGAAAAAGCTGAGTGACGCCTCCTCACTGCGGGCTATCAGTTCCCCGGTGCCTTCCAGTGGGCTCCGGCTTCCTTAGTTCAGTCTCCCTCTCAGACCGCAGGAAAGGCAGGGAGAATGTGAGGGTCCCGCAAATGTACCTTTCAAGCACACGCAAGATTACAGGACGCAGAGTCTGGGGTGAAAGGAACAACTGTTCACAATAAGACTCCCTCGATTAGTGAAGCTAATTCTTGTTAAAAAAAAAAAAATTAAAATAGTATATTTTGGACTTGGCTTGATAAAAAAAAATACGAACGGGTTTAAATATTAAATTCCCCTTATATCTAAGCTACCAGTCACATTATTTTTGATGTCTGAATTTCCTACTCTCAGTAAACCTTAATTCACCCAGGCATTGAGAACCTTTTGATTTTTTCCTCCTATGTTCCCTGAGTATCCCTCAGTGCTGTTTTCACCTTGCTCTACCCCTCCCCATCCCCTATTTCTACTTGAAAAATAGAATAAGTAGATCTTCAGAGTCGGACCAATGCTTGGAACATAGCTCACAAACCAAAACGCTTACGGAATGTTGCATCCTTCTATAGAAAGCATTTGACCTTGATAACTGCACTGGTGCCATGCATGAAGTCTGTCCCCTTCGAATCTATGAAGGAGAAAATCACTCTGGTAAAATCTCCAAACAACCTGTAAAGACACTGAGACCTGCTGTGGACAGCTCTCCTACAAAAGGTCAGGGCGGCCCCTAGGTTTTATTACAGCTGCTGTTCCAAGCACACCGTTACCATTCCCCTGTCAGTCTGTCGGAGGGTACGTTATGGATTCCATGTTTATATTTCTCATGACATGTCCCCATTATGATTTTTAATAACAATGATTTGGGCACCTTTACAACTTGTTCTCAGAATTTGTTCATAAATCATTCACGTGTTATAGCCTTATTTGTGTGCCCGGTATTCTCCATTAAAATCTAGTCCATGTTGCTTTTGCAAAATGATAAGATCTAAAAATTGATGTGTAAACTGACATGCATAAGGTAAGGGTCTTTTGGTCACAGAAGATGCATGCTTGATAGGTGATCTATCTGGACTAGGTTAACAATTAACTTACTTAACCTGAATATCAGTACAAATCTCCAATCAGCCTCCACTGCGTGGACACAATGCATTAAAAGAATCTGGAAATATTGGTTCAAAGACAAAACCCCAAGATGACTCTTTGCTCTGAATAAATCTCCTGAGCTCATGAAAGACAAATCCTTCTCACCAGCATTCACCTCTCCTTTTGCTGGGCTGGTATCATGTCACAAGGCTATTGTTCAAGTCACTCAACACACAGACCCAGTGGCTTAAGAAGATGAAAAGGTTCCTTTGAATGTCAACATGGAAAAGGTCTTTTAAATTAATAACAGAGGCAGAGCACAGACCACAGAGAACACAGTGGTTTCCAGACAGGGTCACTGGCCCCCACTTGTGTGGTATGATTGTGTGTGTTACTGGGAGAAGCAGGAAGGTAGGATTTGCTAGAATTTGTTCTTTTCCCTACGTGAAGGTTATGGAGAAAACTAAGCTACTTAGAACTAACTCTGTGTAGCTTGGCCTGGTTTCTTAAAGTCTATCTCTTGCGGTCCATGTGCAGCAGGGGGAGGAAACCTCAGGTCACCGCAGTTCCTGTCACCTGGGAAAGAGAAGAGGAACAAGCTCTCTGCAGAGCTGGAGACTTACAGCTGTACCAAAGTTTTAAACAAAACTCACGGAGCTTTGCTGAATCTAAGCTGTCACTCTGGTATCAAACAGCAGACAAGCAGCAGCGCCTACTTGGCCATCTGCAGATGTCAGTGAGGCTCTGCCTCCTGCAGGTCCTCCACAGCCTCCGAGTCTCGCCAGCCCTGGAGTCTCGCCAGCCACACGCGGTTCCCTTGTGCTGGGCAACAGTGTGACTTAAGAGAATTTCTCACTGTGTGGACAGTCAGGTTCCATCTCTAAAACAGGAATTGCATCACTTCACCCCAAGAGCCACTTGGGCTAGCACTTTGCACAGCACCTCAGAACCCCTCAGCTCTGTGGTCTAAGGTTGCTGCTAAGCCCCGGGAGAAACACACCCTCCATTTTTCCTGCTCCCATTGTCTACACGTTGGGCAGATCAGAATCCTAACTTACCATTCGTGAGCACAGACATTTCTGTAATGGCAGAAGAGGTTTACCAGATGCCCACAGCAGTCCCGGGAGGAGTAGGAGTTAAATAAGAGCAGCTTAACAAATGCACTATGATATTTTTTTTTCTATCCTGTGTTAAAATTCTAAAATTTGGCTAAGCAATTGAACTGTCATCCCAAATGTTTCGAGTGACCTTGGTATTAGAGACAGGTGACCTGGCCCTGTGGTGCATGTCCCAGGCTTGCATCCTCGGCACCATGCTGAGGGACTTGAGGGTGCTGACCCTTGAATTCAAGAAGCAGGACTGGGCCAACTGTCCTATGACAGACTTGGGTAGGCAATCTCACCCCAGGCTTCATTCTGTGCAATAATCAATAATCTTTTCATTTATATTATATCAACTCTCCATCTCATTCTTTACTGATACCACTGAACACGTCCACTCCATAAACTATAGATGAACTTGTGCTTTCTCCCCTGTACTTTCAGTTTGTTCTCAGAGCCGAAACGTGCCCTCCAACCAAGGCCTCTGATGGCCTAACAGAGCCTAAACACTGCCCACTGGCCAAGCCTCTTGCCTTCCTCAGTCTCCTTAGATGTCACCCAGCCTTGAGGTGTGCTCACAAGGAGGCGTGAAAAGGACGCCCTACCCCCTGACACCCTGTGCCTTCAGCTCCAGTCAGTCACTGCTTTCCAGCCTGCACAATGAAAGAAGCACCAAAGTATTCAGGACTATAAATCTTTAACTGACAGCAGATTCATATATGGTCAAAGTTCCCTTTGATTCAAATGTCTCTATTGAGAAGAGGGAGATAACAGCAAATCTTCACACAGTCATTATTGAGGAAAAGCTGTAAAAGATTTTCAATCATTAGTGTCTGAGTAACAATAAATAATTCCTAACTCCTCATTAAAGTCGGAAGTCAGGGTCTGGGGTGTGACTCAGGGGTAGAGCACTTGTTTGGCCTGCTCAAGGCCCTGGGCGTAATTCCCAGGAAAGAAACCAGAGACAGAGACAGAGACCAAGGGAGAGAGAAGGAAAGAAGGAAGAAAGGAGAGGGAGGGAGGGAGAGAGAATTGGAAGGCTGGAGTCCAGTGTTCAACCCAGAAACACTTGCCACAAAGTGACATCTTGCGCTGTCCTCCCTAAGGAGGCCACACAGCGGCTTTGTGTTGCCTCCTTTGGAGTGTCTGCCTGAGCAAGATACCAGCCACACTCAGATAAACCAGCACCAGGGGGCCAAGCGGTCACCATGGCTAAGGGGAAGGTGGCTTGGAGATGATTTTGGCCAAACTCCAACTAGGATTCAGAAATTTGAGCAGCAGCAGAACTGGGTCATGAGCCTAAGAACCTCTAAAATAGCCACACGCTGATTTGTGATCATTAACTCCACCCTTGAGAATGAAATTTGTAAAGGAAAGTAGCTGAATCCAAAGGTCTTTTTGGAAGTCTAATTGGATAGAGGTTTTGAATATAAATTCCTATAAGCCACAGGAAAGGGCAAGGAAAGAGCAGTACCTGTAATATTCTAAATGGTGTACATAATAAATGCAAAAAGACACTACCGAGTATGCACATTTACTTGGCGTTTTAGATACCTCTCTATTTCACCTTTGTACAGGGCTCTTTGTCATTTTCCCAGACCTACAGTTGACCCAGATACAAGAAGTAAACAGCTAATACAGACTTGGTGTACAGAATAAAATAATATTAAATGTGTACATAGAAATAAATTGTTAGTCTGCAGCCTGACTCTTAACACAAATAGGTCCTGGTGGGACATTACCTAGGGACACTCAAGAAGTCTTTCCACCATGTCTTGCAAACATGACACCCAGCTATATTAAGCTAAACGAGGAGGCAATATTAAAAGGCAAAGCTTTCAATTCCTGGTACCAATAAAATAAAGTAAAGTAAAATAAAATAAAATAAAATAAAAGGCAAAGTTTGTGCCCCTTAGTAATTCTTACTTTTCCTGAAAGAAGGCCTCCGTGTTTTTTAAAGTCCATTACTGGGCTTCTAGCAATAATTATTTAGCCCCTTCTTGGTAAAGCAGAGTAAGATGCTCAGAAGGAGTTATTTTCTGCAATGCCTTGGTTAGAAAAAAAAAAAGGGATGCAACATTACAAATATTGTGGGCCCATCCTATTGAAAGTTAGAAATATAAGTACATTGCTTTCCTACAGTTGCTCTAAAAAATAACACAAACTTGGCACTTAAAACCACACACATTTATTCTCTTACAATTCTGGATGTCAAGCCTGAAGTTCCAACAGGTTAAAATTGAAGTGTCAGCAGGGCCTCCCTCTCTCTGTGTGTTCTCAGGGAGAATTCCTTGCTTTGCCTCTTCCAGTTTCCAAGGTCACATTTCTACATTCCTTGGCTCAGGCCCTTCCTTCATCTCCACAGCCAGACCAGGGGCTCCAAATCTTTGTTCTGCCACCCGGCTTTCTCCTCTGCAGAGAAACCTCCCGTGCCTTCTCCTGTAAGGACATTTTCATTTCACTTTCGTTCCACCCAGATAACCCAGGATGACTGTTACATCTCTCAGTCCTAAGTCATACCTGATTGCTATATTTTCGTGGCAAACACAGGGAGAAATACAAGGGGTAGAGAGATATTAGGGGTAGATGTTCGTATCAAAATTACTGTCTACTTAAAGTATCACGTAAGAGATTTAATACATTCGCGCATCACAACTCAAGGCATCTGAAACATCCTTGTTAACAGTAATACCCAGGCAAAAACTGATGCTAAGGAACCAAGTCTCTAAAGGATTCTTTATAGGTAACCAGGGAATATAATATTCTGGCTCATTATGGTGATATCTACTCTTCAAGCAAATAATCAGTAAACAACTCATAAAAATAAGTGAGAAAATTACACAAATGCTCAAATATTGTAGAAAAGAGCATGTTCATTTTATATAAAATATATCTAAACAGGTAGCTTATTACATTAAGACAGTATTTCCTCCTGCAGTGCTAGAGGTGGAATGCCCTGACAATCTATCTTTACTTTATAAGGAATTCAAAGGTAAACATGCAACAAAGATGTGGTTGGTTAGGAGATCCTATGCATAGGGGGAGCTTTTGTTTAAAAGTGAGTATTTTAATGTGATATGCATTTCCTGTCCTTCCTGTAGTCAGTTGTCTAGACAAGATTTTCTACTCTGCTCTCATTTAGATTGGCAGTGTGCAGGGTTGAACTTCAACACACAGTCTGGAAAAAGTAATGAACACAGTACGGTACATAAGTTTTTCTTTATTTGATTTGAGCCTTCTGAGACTTTCACCAAAAGTATATATTTTTAACTTTATTTTGATTACTAATTTTCAGTCATATGTTCTTTTATTCAAAGTCCAAACTGTTGAAGTTTTACTGGAGCCCGTACAAAAGAGAATCCTAAAGTTAAAGCTTAATGAGATACTGTTTTATCATCTAAAATTCCTCAGCTTGAAATATTCAAAACACAATTTTTCCCATATCTGTGACCCAATACTTTGTTGTCCTGAGACGGCTTTGAATTAATTGGTTAGTCCTATGGACCCATTGAAAAATTAGGGGGCATAGTAATATGACAAGGGTAAGGATGGAAAGTTTGGGAGCTTAAGAAGATCAGATAATAAGCTTCTTTTTTAAAAATTCAACTGGGGCTGGGGATTTAGCTCAGCGGCAAAGTGCCTGCCTGGCAAGCGCAAGCTCGTGAGTTCGGTTCCTGGTACTGGAGAAAAGCCAAGAAAAAAAAAAAAAGAAGAAAAGAAAGAAAGAAATAAAAAATTAAAAAATTCAATTAATTACATAAGTAGACACAGGAGAGGACTATATTGTTCTGTCAAGAATTTTTTTAATTTTGGAGAGATACAGAATTTCAAAACAGGATGATAGAAAATTAACAATGGTCATTATATTGCGTATTGTTATCTTCAAAGTAGTTGCTCAGATTTCCAGGTACAGGCAGGCAAAAGTGATCAAACAATATGAGCACTAACAGTTCCTTTCAATGCACTAATAGAAATCAGTAACACAATTATCTTAGCTACCTTGTGTATATATACATCTTTTTTTCCCTTCCTTCTTTTCTCTTTCCTCCAGCCCAGCTGTTCTTTCCTTTTGAGCAGTGTCCTTCCTTTTCATGATATCTATTGTACCTCTTGGACCTTATTTACTCTTTCAGTTTCTTATACTAAGAAGACAGTATGATGTTTACACATGCAATTCATCAAGATGTTTTTAATTTTAAGAATTTTGAAGAAAAGAGTAATTTCATTGGTCCAATTTCTCTGAAAGTATATTTCCCCATCTAGAGGATATCCACTGCAGCTTCTTGAAAAACCTATAGATCATTTTAGACAAGTTTTATCCATGAATATTCTAGATGCTCTGTACCAGGGAAGAAGGTATTTGAGATATGAAAATTAATATTGATGGAGTTCTACAGCCTCACAATTAAAAAGTGCATGGAAATAAAGAAGAATTGATTAAAATATTTCAGATTTTATAACTCACTGAAATATACTAAGTTCATATTAGAATCATATTGCCACTTGACTGGCAGGGTAGAAAACTCATTACACTTAGGTTGTAAAAACGAAATGAGTGGTATCTCACACCTGTACTCCCAGCACTTGGGAGGCTGAGGCAGGAGGATTGCTGCAAGTTCAAGGACAACCTGGGCTACAAAGTGAGTTCAAGGCCAGCCTGAACTGAATAGTGAGACCCTGTCTCAAAAAGACAAAAAAAAAATTGAAATGAAATTTTTTTACTCTAGTTATGAAATTGGCTATAATATAGGACAGAATTTCCCAGCATATAGTCAATGGGTTGCAAAAATAAAACTAATACATTGGAAGAACGTAATGAAATCTTTTGTTGGCTATAAAGAAAGGCAAACATCAGAGTGTACTGAGGCATTTAGTAGCCAAGCAATGTAATGTCAGATGCGGGAGCACAACAGTGTGATCAGGCTGGTAAAGGGCAACACGAGGTATTTCAAACTTCATTTTGAAGTAAATGGGATCTCATTTGGGCATAGTGGTGTGGATTGCAATGCACAGTGGCATAAGTATAAGGGAATCTTCACCTACATCCTGACTTTACCACTTCTGAATTATAAGAATTTAGACAGTTCCTTTAGCCTCATTAAATCTTAGCTTTTTTAGTGACAAAAAACGGACAACATTCGATCTTCCAATTTCAACTCATAGGATATTTATAACTTCAGATGTATAAAAAAGTAATGTAACTATAAAGCTCTATAAAATTTTAGTGGTTACTATTGCAAAAAAATTGTTAGAGTTCACTTATTGACGAGTTTTGATATTTTTTACCTCTCATTATAATACCACTGATGTGTATGATGTCTTATGCTTAATTGATTAAAGGAGGCAGGCACTTAATTCTCTTAAATTCCACTCAGTAAAATGCTGAATCATCACACACACACTTCAAAATGGTGCCTTTAATACAGTCATTTGAGCAGAGTCATATTTCCGTTTTCTTCAGAGCTTTAAATTGAGTGCCGCTGTTCCTTTGAGAATTCAATACCAACACTCTAATTTATTTTCAATTAGCAGTTAATTTGCTTTAAAATGTGTTATCAACATTTCGTAGTCCTGAGAGTTTCCCAGAGCAAAGTAGAGTATTGGGAACCCACCTCATTTTCTTTCTATGCAACATTAACAGGTCACATAAAATCGCAGCTACTCTGAGCAAACTTTCGGAGACAGACGAGGCTGCAAAAACCTCAGCATCATTCCAGGGCGGTCCAACTCGGTAATCACTTCCTCCTCAGCATCTTACAGGACAGAGAACTGAAACTGTTTGCTTAACAACACTCATGTTACAAAAGGTAGTCTCCTCAAAACATGTTAGAAATAATAATAGCTTGGACATATGGCAACTATATCCAAATAATGACATAAGTTGTTAAAAATGATTGCACTCACAAGCAACTTTGATTGTAAACGATCCGGGAATAAATTCTGAAATAGTTTCAGATAATGTGAAATCTCAGTTTAGCTATGATACTAATATATTTTCCAATCAGAAAATTCACTACAGTGAGATATCATATTCATTCAAAAGTTTAGTTAGAATGAACTCTAGTATACTTAAAAAATATTTAAAAAGAAACAAGAGCTTTATTCCTGGGTTTAAAAACATAAAATAATGCTAGAGACACTTAAAGTCTGGTGCTGGTACCAGAATAGGTAAACATATCAATAGAAGAGATAAGAACACCAAAATAAACTCGTATATGTATATATAAAATCATATATAGCAAAGTTGGCATTTAGAAACAATGTTTGGACAACTGGGTCATTTTGAGAGAAATGGAGTTCTACTCCAATAATTTAAGAGAAGTAATTTATATGTATTAAATATACACATTTTGTATATTAATGTATAATATATTTCTACATATGAACACATGTAAGTATACCAGAAAATATAGAAATCTATAATCTTAGAGATCTGGAATTCAGAATCACATGGGAATAAGTTGGTGATATATTGATTTGTTTATATACAACCTTAAAATTCCTTTATGGTTAAAAAGACCAAGTTCAAAAATAACCCACAAGAGCCATAGTCAAAAGCAAATAGGGAGGCAAAAAATATAAAGTTCTTCCTACATATCAATATCAAAGATAAATAACCTAGTAGACAAATAAGCAAAAGGCTAGCAATTTATTGTAGAATAAAAATGATCAACTAATGTGGTTCTGTCAAAACTGTCTGAATTTTGGTTATGTAAATGTGTTTTTCTATAAAAATTGGACAAGAAATTGTGAATAGATACGTCTATGCATATATTACATAAAGTTTGAGTATTAAAAAATAAGAATTCTATCACAATTTTGTTACATACAATCTTTTTCTCTCACTTAAACTGAAAGAAAAATTACAAAGAAATTTGTATTAGAATATTAACCATGGCTGTCTTTCGATAGCTAGATTATGAGTGATTATATTCTTTTTGTTTATCTGTATTTTCTAGATTCTTTACATTTTACATTTAGAAAGAAAGATTTCAAGAGTGTACCTTTTTTAAAAAGGAACTAGTTCAATCACTTTTTCAAAAAATCACTTATGAGATGTCACCCTTCATACAAAGTAGATAGCTAATTCACTGTATTTATGCAAAAATAATATAAATCCAGCTCTCCATATGTTCTCGTCACTGATTCTCAGCAGAACATGATTCTATATCTACATGATTTCCCAGTCATTGGTACCTTTAACTGAAATACATTATTGACCATTGCTACGATAATTCTAATGATATCAGCCTTTGTATGTTTATGTCATCATGTAAAAACTATGAAGAGGTAAATTTTATTTTAAAGAAAAATTTCACACTTTAATTTCCAGCCAGTTAAAATAAGTTTCTGCATTTATTATAGATACAAAGGAAAGCTTTTATTTATTTTATTTTTTTTTTTTTTTTGGTTTTTCTCCGGTACCGGGAACCGAACTCACGACCTTGCGCTTGCCAGGCAGGCGCTTTTGCCGCTGAGCTAAATCCCCAGCCCCAAAGGAAAGCTTTTAGACACTGAACAACTGACAAACTTACTGTGCTATGCTTGGAAGGCACAATCTTAAAAGACATTCAAGCCAACAAATAGCACTAAAGGCAATAGAAAATTATTGCAAAAAAAAAAATCTTGACGATGGTGCATATCTTAAGACCATCTGTCTATTCTGTTCAAATTATGATGGGAAGAGAGTACAACAGCAAAGCTGCAACTCAGATCCATAAAAGAAATAGTCAAACTAATGAAAAAGTAAATACTTTTCAAATCAGCCAGAGGGAATAAAACATAAATCTAAATTTATGACCCAGAAAAATAATTGAGGCACAGTTATAATACATGACCTAATGTAAGTAAAGTCAGGTTACGTTCAAATCATGACATAAGCAAGTAAAAGTGCAAATAATTCAGCAGTGCTTTTGCCTTCCTTCCGGTTGCAGATACAGTCTGGCTGATAGCACGAGGTCGAGCATCCCTTCTCTGGAATGAAAGGAATGTAAAGATAGAGAAAATTCAGTTTCTTGTTTAAAAAACATGTCAGAAACTGAGAAAGAGAGTTTATTGCTTTCCCCAAATTAGATAAAAGTTATACTAAACAACTAGCATTGGATCAAGGGTCAAACATCCTACTAAATCTTGTCTCATCTAAACTCAGCTTGGCCCCTCCCATGCTCTCCATGCAAGCCCTTGCCTCTGCCCAGCAGCCGGCTGCTCTCTAGCTCAGCGCTTCAGTTTTGCTGACTCTGCCCACAGAACCAAAATCCACTTCCTGTAGACCACTGGCATATGGAGGGAAGCCGGAAGGATTAGCAAGGCTCACCTGTTGGTCTAACGAACAGAAGAAAGAGATAAGGAAAGAAAAGAAGGAAGGAAGTGGTAGAAGGAAGGAAGGAAGGAAGAAGGAAGGAAGGGAAGGAGGGAGGAAAGAAAGGAGGAAGGGAGAGAGAAGGCGGGAGGTGGGAGAAAGAAAAGGAAAAAAGAAAAGTAGACAGAGTGCAAAAATTGTTGGTTCAAGTGAAGATCTCAAAGCACCTAAGATATGGTCCACACAAGGCATCAGATAAACAGTTGAGGGAGAGTACAGGGCCTGTGTGAGCTGGAATGCTTCAGCACAGCTTAGAGGAAAGGCTTCCGCCGCACTGCATTATTTCTCCACCTAAACATGCGTCCAGAGAATGGAGACTGATAATACAATCTGGCAAAAGTTGAGGTGATTTTTCCTAACTTCAGGCTTGAATAGATATCTGAACAAGCCATGTGACAAACAGTAAAGGAGAGGAGATGCCGTGGAGGACATGGGAGATGCACTAAGGTGAATTTAGGGAAGGAAAAATATTTGAGCTGAGATTGACATGGTGGGGAGCAGGTAGGCAAAGAGTGAGGAATGATGTTTCTCTGAGGAGGAGGAAATGCAATCTGTAAGTAGCCAAAGAAAAGGTGAATGTTAATGGAGAAGTGAACGTAGCAGAGGCTTGGAGGAGTGTCGTGATGAGCAATGAGTTGGGACTGGATCATCAGAAATCTGGAAGGTCCCATAGGTCACACGGGGGTGCTGAGATCACCGAAATGACAACCAAGTAACTTGAAAAACTGGAAATCATTTAACAGTGACTGACACAATACCTAATTTTACTTATAGGGTGGAAGCAATTAAGATAATTTAGCCCGGAAGATAATTAAGAATTTTGCAAGGCCTCTTGGACACTGTTATGGCTTTTAATCATCATTATAATTTAATGGAGATGAGTTTGCCATGTCCTACAAGACGACTTCTAACTTTATCACTTGATATATGCTTATGGTTTAGTTCTTTTTTACAGAAATAGTGTATGACTTCAAAAACTTCTAGATATTTAAAATACTGGTTGTTTGGGTTATGAAATATAAAGGTTGTTAGAATGTAGAAATGCCAGACATTTAACTCTCAAATTCCTGAGACTCTCTAATATTTTATACTTGCAGAAGGTCTCCAACCTAGTGGACTCCAGTGCTTTTTTGTTTGTTTGTTTTTATTTTGTTTGTCAGTACCCGGCATTGACTTCCAGGCCTTCACTTTGAGCTACATATCCGGCCCTTTTTAAATTTTTTTTTTTTTATTTTGAGACAGTTTCTCACTAAATTGCCCAAGTGAGACTTGAACTTTCCAACATCCTGATTTGTCTCCCATAGCTCAGTGATCAGACTGTTTTGGATCACTTGTTTCATCAATCAAAGGTTTTGAAAATATTTTAAAACATTTGTATACATTTTAAATATACACAAAAAATAGAAAGAAATAAAAATTGGCTGAAAAAAAAAGAATAGAAACTAAAGTTCTAATAGAAGAAATAGCATATTCCCAAGGTACTATCTTGCATGAAATTACTCTATAAATCACACTACTAATTTCATGAAACCACCTAATAGGTGATTTCTGGAGTTATTTTTCAGTCAATAAATTTTATACCAGGGACTTAATTTCTGATATGAACAAATAAGATGTTGGGCCTGCAGCGTTTCTAATTTTTAATTAACAAGCTCATCTTCACAGGGAGTTAATCAAACATTTTTACTATTTGTATACAAAAGAAAAATTCCAACCACAAGAATCACAGAAGCCACCTTTTTCTTTTGAATGGATTCATGTTGTGCTGCCATGTCCTTGATAGGGGATTTCAGACATACATAGCTGTGTGACTTTTCTGAAGCCTTATCCTTTTTCCTGCAAGGAATAGAGAACATTAGATGGATTTAGTATATTAAAAAGTTAATGGTACGGGGCCTCAGTAAAAGGAAAATAAAGAAGGTGAGACAGTAAAACCGTGCAGTAACAAGGATCAAAATTCAGAGCCCTCCAAATACCTCTGTTTAAAGGAATAACTCAGTATTGTCTTCTTCTGGCTTGAGTAAGTGCATTGGAACGTACTCCTGAATACCCTGGGGTGTGGGCAGACTGTGGGTGCTCAGGTCTGACTGGTTTGTATCCAGCTGTACCAGTGGAGGACAAGTTACTAAGCCTTTGATTGTTTTTCTCTAGAATGGTAAAAGCAGTGCCTATCTCCTGTGATTGCTGGGTGGGTAAAACAATATATATGGTGCTAAAGCACAGTGCCTGGGCTGTCATAAGCACTCAATAAATATATAACTGCTGGAAAAAATAGAAATATATATAGCACTTAATATCCCTCTTCCTAACAGAGTCTGGGGTTAATGTTAATTATAAACACTGTTTGTTCTTGTTGTTATGGAATTTTTGTCTCCCTTGTTGATCACAGTGTCCTTCCAAATGTCTGCCTGAATCAATGCCATTTCTTTTAGATTAAAAACAAGAGATAAGAGGCTATCAGACTCGCTCTGTCAAGCAGCAGGCAGAGTCCTGAGGGCCACGGGTATGGATGAGAGAAAAATAATTGAATCCCAAGGGCAATGGCATCCAGGGGCAGTACTGGCAAATGCCTGAGACTGGACAGGCCTTATGAGTTTATGGGCAGATGAGATGGAAATTTCAGTTCCCTCTTAGGAGAACAAGAAGCTGTGAGATGACTGTGGGGAGGAAATGATAACTAGGCTCAAGGAGGAAAGGGACCAGGAAAGTGCAGCATACATCCTCACATACTTCTCTCCTAAATCTAGTATTTACCCGGGTACCTTATTACCAGCCACCTGCTGTGCTAAGGCATTCTCACGAGTTATCTCTGTCCTTCTAGTTTACAACCAAGTTTCAGAAGCAATAAGCTCCTTGTCCAAGGTTACATAAGGGAAGCAAAACCTGCAGGTAGAAGTAGCATTTGTTGGTTATAGCGAGTCCTCGTGATCTGGGTCAGGGACATCAGAAAAACCAGGTGGGAAGTTGCTCAGCTAAGGAGTCACAGTCTGTCCCCATTTTTCTAAGTGGCAGGTTTTTAGGATTTTCCACTTGACTGAGAGCCACATTTGCACTGAAAGTCATTGGAGCAAGAAGGCAAAAAGTCTAAGAGATTTCATGTGGGCGATCGCTTGCTGTAGAAATAGATTCCTTGGTACTTGGTGGTTCTGGGGTTCACGATTCTTGCCTTGCGTCCTTAAACTGGCATCATTATGCAGAACTGAGTGGGTGCACCCTATCGCAGCAGGGAAACAGCTCCTTTAACTCACATGCATGATCAAAGAAACAGTTTCATAATTGTTCCATATCTATGAGAGAAATCTTCTTTCAAATGGAACTTTTTCTGAATAGTTCATCATCTCTTAACTTGGGCTTTTCTCCTTTTTAACACATATTAAATATTTATGCTGTGTTGGCAACCATTTTTCTTCCCAACTTCATTACTGTCGCTTTGGGAGAGCAGTGAAGACACTGCTGAGTAAAAAGTCAGTACATTCAAGCTCATGATTTTCACCCTCATCCACAACGAAATCACCCAAGAACTGAAAGGCCATGTTTCAGAAATGTTTTCAGATTTTCTAACAGTGTTTAAAAAATATTTTCTATAAGCCTTGTCCAAATGGATCAAATGCCTAAAACCTACACTGTACAACATTTTCTCCTATGAATGTTGTATCTGCAATTAGTAGATGTTATCAGAGAAATGGAGTTTATATCTGCGGACCTGGTCTCATACAGAACAGAAACATGAGCAATCAACAACTAAAAGTCTAGACTTAGCTTTTGCAGTTAAAAAAAAATTAATAGTGAGCCAGATACATAAGGACAAAAATAGTGTAATCTCAATTATACAAGGTACCTAGAACAGGCAAATTCATAGAGACAGAAAAGAAGCTGGTGAGACAGAAAAGAAGATGGTGATTATCAAAATCCAAGGAAGAAAGACACAGGCACTATTGTTGAGTTCAGAATTCAAGTTCGGGATGTTCTGGAGCGGAAGGTGATGGCAGTTGCATCACAGTGTAAATGTTACTTGCTGCCATCTGACTGTATGCTAAAATGGTTAACATGGTATATTTCACCACAATAAAAAATTTTAATCCATAACAATGACAGTAATACGGACTAGTATTGACTGTGCCATGGATGGTATGCTAAATGCTCTTTTCTATTCTTTTATTTAATGCCTAAAGTAGGACCCAAAGAGAATAATATAAAAACTTAAGCCATAATTTACATTTAACACAGATAGCAAATGGTACAGCTGACTTGGGACAGGGGTCTATTTCCAAAGCCCACATTCTCTCTGTGTCATGTTTTAGGACTTTATAAAAACACGGAGGCTCAACATTCTAACACCGACAAGGAGATGCCTTCTTTCCTGATGCTTTTCCTCTTTCTAAACTGTCCTGGATCTATGGAACCTCAAACACACAGCAAAGATGATCCCGGCATAGCATCCTCTTCTCTGATAATACAGTATATTGTAGTTTTGACATTAAAACATGGCAGATAAAAGAATGTACCTCCTTTCCTCACTGACCTCCAGTATTTGTTTTCCATGATTATGCCACTCCAAGCACCTAATTACCTCTTTCACAATTTCTAGAATGGATTTCCATAACGTTGTTTTGGCTTTGCTCCTATATCATACCTTGCTGTCCCAACCATCACCTCCTCTCCCCTGGGTAGTCCCATCAGGGATCTCACTTCTTAGCAGGCAGGTGACCCCACCAGTCACAATCAGTGTGGAGACTTGAATGTTGGCTCTGCTGCCACTTAGAAGAAACCTGATTGTAAAATGATTCCAGTTCCTGGAAATCCAGAGCCACAAGGTGGAGAGAGTCCTGCTGACTTTAATAAATGTCTGGCCTTTCATCCAGGAGTGATTGGTACACAGTGAATGTGTTATTGTATTTTCACTAAAACACTATGTCATCAAGCAAATCTATCAGAACATTAAGATCTTGGTTTCTGAAGGGAGACCCTGAACACAACTTCTTCCCCTTCCACTGCTCCCTCTCATTCATCCAGTGAACATTTATTGTAATAAGTGACACAAAAACCTGAACAGGTAAATGTCATACACTGATGAATGCGGTGTTGGAAATACAGAGTGTTATGAGAGCTCTGGGAAAGTGCCCCATCTTTTAAGGGAAGAGGGTTGAGGCTGAGGATGGACTGGCAGGCCAGAGTTGGTGCTTGATGGGCTCAGGAATGTCAAGGAGGCCAGTTGGCCCATCTCTTTGAGTTTTTCCTCCTATGAAGGTGGTTGTTTAGGTAGCATGATGAAGACCTTTAGCTTCTGTTTATACTCTTTTTTCTTAGGAGTCTGTTATCCTTAATACTGTCAGTATCTATCAGCAGAGTACCCAAATTTAAACCTCCAGTCTTGATCTCTCCACAAACTCTACAGAAGATATTCCAACTGCCTTCACGAACTATCCACTTGGGTCTCCTCCTGGATCCTCCAGATCTACATGCCGCAAAGAATTCATCATCTTCTCCACCCCCAAACACCAGTCAAACTCCTCTTCCTGATACTTCCTTTGACAATGGCTCACTATTACCAGGGCCTTAAGGCTCATGACCTTAGAGTCACCTTTGCTTCCTGCTTCCTGGCATTTCATGGGTACTCAGGGCTACAGGCCAGATGACTAGCAGCCAGAGCTCCCAAGACTTACCCAACATGGCGCAGGTAGACAGCATTCTTTGGCTACTGCAATCAAATCTCTATTGTAACATTCATACCCCATTGTCACAAAGACATAGACGAACTAGGCAAAAAACCAGCAAAGAAATATCAGAACTGAACAAAACCTGTGAACAAACGGACTTAGTGGATATTTGCAGAGTATTCTACCCAACATCATCAGAATACACATTCTTTTCAGCTGTACGTGGGGCATTCTGTAAAATAGACCATACACTAGCCCACAGAATATGCTTAAGTAAATGCAAAGGAATTGAAATTATTCCATGCATCTTATCTGACCATAATGCAATGAAATTGGAAATTAACTGCAAAAGAAACCCCAAAACTCCATAAACAAATGGAAATAAAGTAACACCCTCCTAAATAGCCAATGGGTAACAGATGAACTTAAAGAAATTAAATAACGTCTGCAACTAAATGATAATGCAGACACAACATACCGGGAACTTATGGGATGCAATGAAAGCAGTCCTAAGAGGAAAATTTATAGCAGTGAATTCTCACATCAGGAAAACAAAATGAGTGCAAATAATCTAATGTTGCATCTCAAACTTCTAGAAAAAGAAGAGCAAGACAGGCCCAAAGCCCATACAAGGCAGGAAATTATAAAGATCAGAGCAGAAATTAGCACATGAAAATAATACAAAGAAGTAATGAATAGAAGAGTTGGTTCTTTGAAAGAATAAACTTGATAAACACTTAGCCAACCTTATCAAAAAACAAAAAGGAAAGAAAAGTCTCAAATTCATGCACTGAGGAATGAAAAGGATGAAATCACTATAGGTCCTTAGACATTCAGAAGAACATCAATACCTATTTTGAAAATCTTTACTTTCATAGGATGAAAAATACAGAAGAAATGGACAGATTCCTAGAAACACAGAATTACCAAAGCTGAATCAAGAAGATATAAAAATTCTGAATAATCTAATATCAGTTAATGAGATTGAAAGTGTAAATAAAAACTTACTAACAAAGAAAAGCCCAGGGCCTGATGGATTGATAAATGAATCCTACAGGAAATTTAGAGAAGATTTAATGCCAATACTCCTCAAATGCTTTAATGAAATTGAAAGGGTAGCAATACTTGATAATTCATTCCTTAGAGGCAAGTATTACCCTGATAACCAAGTCAGGAAAAAATCAACCAAAATAAAGAACTCTAGACCAATCTCCCTAATGAACTTAAGTGCAAAAATCCTCAGTAAAATATTATCAAACAGAATGCATCAAATCATCAAGAAGATTATATACCATGACCAAGTGGTATTCAGCTCAGGAATGTAAGGATGGTTCAATATATGCAAATCAATAAAGGTAATATACCATATCAACAGAACCAAAGACAAAAAATCACATGATCATCTCGATAGATGCAGAGAAGCTTTTGACAATGTCCAGCACTCATTCATGATAAAATCCTACAGAAAATCAAAATAGATAGTCTTTACCTTAATTTGATAAAAGTAATCGATGAAAAACCAAGAGCCAACATCATACTAAATGGACAAAAACTGAAAGCTTTCACTCTAAAATCAGGAACATGACAAGGATGTCCATTATCATCACTCTTATTCAATATAGTTCTGGAACCACTGACCAGATAATTTGACAAGAGAGAGAAATAAAAGGAACATGGATAGGACAAGAAGAAGTGGAATTATCATCATTTCCAGATGACATGATACTCTACATAGAAGACCCCAACAACTCCACCAAAAGACTTCAATCTACATTTTTCAGGGGGTACCAGGAATTGAGCTTAGGACCTTGTGTTTACCAGGCAGGCACTGTGCCACTGAGCTGTATCCCTGGCTTTATCTAGATTTAATAATCAAATTCAGTAACATAGCTGGATACAAAGTCGACATTCAAAAATCAATAGCATTCCTGTACACAAATAACAAACTCATTGAGAGAGAAATTATGTAAACCACACCCTTTACAATAACATCCAAAAAAAAAAAAAAAAAAGAAATACCTAGGAGTCAATATAACAAAGGAAATAAAAGATATATACATTGAAAATTACACTTTTCTGAAAAAGGAGATTGAAGAGGATATAAGAAAATGAAAAGATATCCCTTGTTCATGGATAGGAAGAACCAGTATTTTGAAAATGACCATACTCCTAAAATTGTTATACAGATTTACTGAAATCCTTACCAAAATACCATTAGCATTCTTCATAAATCTAGAGAAAACACTCCAAAAGTTCATTTGGAACCAGAATAGACCTAGAATAGCAAAGGTAATCCTCAGCAACAAAGGCAAGACAGGAGGCATCACATTTTGAAATTATTCTACAAAGCTACTGTGATAAAATCAGTATGGTACTGGCAAAACAAGCAAAGAAACAAACAAGAAACAGACCTGAGGATCAGTGGAACAAACTAGAAGATGAAGACACAGCTACAAACACAGTCAGCCACCTTATCTTTGACAAAAGGGCCAAACATATTCACTGGAAGAAAGATAGCCTCTTTAATAAATGATGCTGGAAAAACTGGCTCTCTACATGCCAAAGACTAAAACTAGACCCATGTCTACCCCCATGCACTAAACTAAAGTCAAAATGGATCAAACATCTTAATATTAAAACAGAAACACTCAATCTACTGGAAGAGAAGGTAGGTAGAAATCTAGAAGACATAAGTGTAGGCAGAGTTCATGAACAAAACCCAAACTGCATGGAAAATAGTTCAAAGAATCAACAACTGGGATTTCATCTTATTAAAAGCTTTTACACCTTCAAAGAAATCACCAACAGAGTGAAAAGATAACCCACAGAATGAGAAAAAGTTTCAGCCAATTGTCCCTTGGATGAAGGACTTCTATCTAGAACATATAAAGAATTTAAAAAGTCATAACCCCCCAAAATTCAAAGACCTAATCCAAAAATGGGCCTCTGAGATTAACATGCATTTCTCAGATGAAGAAGTAGAAATAGTAAATAAATCTATGAAAAAATGTTCAACATCATTGATTGGTCATTCAAAAGATGAAAATTAAAATAACATGGAGATTCCATTTCACCCCAGAAAGAATGGCTATCATCATGAAATCAACCAATAACAAATGTGGCAGAGCTGTGGGGAAAAAGGAATTCTCCTCTGCTGTTGGTTGGGAGTATAGACTGGTGCAGCCACTGTGGAAATCAGTGTAGAGATTCCTCAAAACACTAGAATTAGAAGTTCCATTCAACCTAGCTACCCCTCTGGGTATTTTCCCAGAAGAATTAAAAACATCATACCACAGAGATACATGTGTACCCATGTTTATTTCTCACATTGTGGCATAGGTAAAAACAATAATCTTTGTATCACACACTTAAATGGATGGTGCTCCTCATAGTCCTCAGAAAAACTAGGTCCTGCTCAGCAACACAAGGGTGGAAGGGGGCATTTATCTGGGTATACTTGTGGCACATTCATGATTGAGAAGCTCTGGTCTAGAAAACAGTAAGGCAATATTAGCATGGTCCTAAGCTCAGCTCTGGAACCAAACCGTTCCAAGCACTTCTTTAGCCAGGATATTTCACTTCCCTTTGGTTTCATCTATAAAGGAAGCCAATAAATCCTGCTTCATGAAATTAATCAGCCCTCTAAAGTGCTTGGAATTTCGTGTGAACCACAGGGAAAGCTCAAAACAAGTTGGCTCTTACCTTGTATCCAAATCCTAGAACTATCCCCAAAGATTTCTTTGGGTAAACCCATCAGCTGCAGGAGAATAGAGAGGCTCAACTTCCTAGGAGATGGGGGTGGGGGTGTCACTAGAGAAAATGCACTTTGTTAGTATAGAAATCTCCCTGTCTTTTCCCTAAGAGCAGCATCACAGCTGAGTTAGTCACAGCTAATGAACTGCAGCACACTTTTTTCCAAAGTATAGGAGTGAGTGGCAAACAGAATCTAGCTTACAGGATTTAGAGCACAAATCTTTATTTCTTGAGTGGCCCTGTTTGCTACACTAAAGAAAACATCATTTAAATTCTTTCTTATACTAACCATACTAGTATTTCCTCATTAAGAACCTAAGTTATGATGTGATTTACACTACAATAACTTAAGAAAAATTTAAAACTTTTAATGTGAATTTAATGAAGTCAAGAATTTTACTGACCTTGAAAGAAGCCATAATGTATGCGTTCGAAGACTTGTTAATATAAAGGAGTGTTAATACTTAAAGTTTTATCTTCAAAATTCCTATCTGTACATTTTCATTCAATTAGCATTACTTAGTAAATACATATTTTCTGTGGCAAAAAGGCAATTTTAAATTAGGGCTTTATTTCCCACCAGGTGAGATGCACAATTGATATCTGATAACTGTTGATAAGTGTTTTGAGTTGTCTATATGTTTACCCATGGAGAATTTGCTACCAAAGAATTTTTTTTATAAAATTACCAGATAGTTCCACTCTGGGAAAACATAAATCTCAAGAAGCATTTTTAAAAAGAAGAAAATCTAAGATGGACATTTTCAACATAATTTATAAAAGTTCCTGGGCAAAAACACACATGTATTTTTATTATTATTTCTATTATTATTTGTGTATCTGAAGCAAGAGTTTTCACATGATATGTTTGATACAATTTATCAAAATTTGTTTTGTCTGAAACTTCTCTTTGGTTTGGTTTTGGTTTTACACTATACCTTCTTAACTCTGTATATACCTTTTATGTATATTTATATTTATGTATATGACATAGTATTTGGTCCATTTATGCAATATTTTCCTCTGAAAGTAAAAATGCTTTGTTTTAATGTTAATCACAAATTGAAGAATACAAGCCACAATAATTTATAAAATATTAAGACAACCACATGACTTTTTTCCACCCCAATTTAAATATGTATGTATGTTTAAAAATTTAAAACAGGAGCCCTTTTAGAATGGAGAAATCAAACTACAATGACCAATGAAAAAACATTGTTTGCTTTCAACTAAATTCTATTATCAGAGGGGAAAAGTAGTAAATGAAATATATTTTATTACTAAGACAAACGGTATTCAAATCATTGATACAACCTATGTGAACTGCTACATATTTATACACACTCAGAAGGCATTTAGATAAATATTTTTGATTATTTGGAACCTAATGTTTAATATTAATTTACCATTCCATAAAGAATGCTTGCAGTTATAAAACATTGTTTGGGGAGGTGATATCTGCAGAGTGATTGATACATTTTCTTATTATTTCTACAGGTCTACATATATACCTCTAAAACAAATCCTCTCTTCATGAAATATGAAAATGTCTAACATAAAAATAAATATAAAAAATAAACATGAGGGGCTGAAGTATTAGCTCAGTGATAAAAGCACTTGCTTAGCATAAACAAGGCACTGGGTTCAGCACCTAAAGGAAAAAAAAAACTCCTGCAACAGGAAATTAGTAATATTGAAACTACTGAACAAATAAATGAGAAAATTAATCTCTAAACCCTAATGGCCATATTCATTGCACTGGACTCTATAATATCCCCCAATGCATTTATTTTAAAAATTTCAAGAAACATCTATCGAATTCACAAGAAAATGGTTTTGTTTTCAGTAATCTAGAAAAAGCAGGATCATCTGGTCCAGCAGAATCATGGACATAAAGTGAAATCTGGTATTTCCATGATATAAGAAAAATGATTAATATCAACAGTTTTTAATATTTATTAAATCTAGTAAAGTGATCAAGTAGTATTGTACCTAGATGAGATAATAAGAATCTTACTATATAGTATTTACCATGTATGTACTCCAGCTGGACACTGTAGTAGGTTCTCAGTGTACATTGATGAGCAAGGCAGAAAACAGGATCAGTGCTTCTAAGCAGAGGTGTACATGCAAGAGATTAAAACATTTTATTTCAATATGTTTGCTTCAGCTGAACGCTAATTAAGGTCCCTGGTCGATTCTAAGAAAGACAAGAAAAGCAAATGTGAAAGGGCTGCTGATAAGGAAGACAGACTTTCTCCACTGGGATGTTGCTTTTGTTCTGTGCCGTGGTAAAGGCCATTCAAGGCAGCCAATGCAGCACTACCCATTTCACTGCCAACACTCTGGAGAGTGATACCCAGAAAGGGAGGAGTTGTGCTCATAAAGTGAGGAGAACGGAGAACACAAACCAAAGTACATCAGTTGAAGCATCTGCCCAGTTAATGCCACAGCTGAGCTAGAACTTCCTGTGAAACTAACAGATCAGGCAAGATTCTCCAACCTCAACTCTCTCACAAGCCTGGGTAGGAGCTATGCAAAGTACGTATCCTGTGGGACACTGAAGCAGATTCCTCAGAGTCACTATGAATAACTGTGATTTCTTCTTAGAAGTCCTCTGCTGAAAGGTAGTAAAACAGCCCTCCATTTCTGCTGTTCCTAGGAAGGACTGTTTCCATGCCAACTTAGTTTTTTTGTTTTTTTCTATACATTTGTTACTCAGGTACCCTAAAAGGTCTATCACCTATCCTCATCTATGATGTCAGCTGTTTTTATTTCATTTCTTTAGCAACATATAAAAATATTTAAAATCAATCCACCTATTTTATATCTTTCAGGGATATATCATTTAGAATTTATATTTTGTGAAAAGTATTTAAGTAGCCTTAAGCCTATTGTGTTTCTTAAGAAAACACTCAAAGTCTCTTTTGATGATTATACTCATAATTAATTGAAAGTGATAGTTGTCTTCTGCCTTTTAAATACGTAATAAGGACAACAGTTGCCTGTTTGCTAACTCTACAAGCTTCTAATGAGCCCCAGGAGCAGTGGAGTAATTCCCAAAGCTCTTTTAAGGAGCTTATTGCATGTGCAAATTTAAAACCTGGTGCAGAGTTGAACTGTTTTCAGCTACTTTTACAGTGGAGGATGATGCTGGAAGGAAGGAAGGAAGAAAAAAAGGAAGGAAGGAAGGGAGGAAAGGTCAGCCTACACAGTCTGAGGAAAATGACCACAGGGAGAGCGTCCTGAGAAGAGCTGAGCTGCCTAGCTGCCTTCTTGGCTAAATGCAGTAGTCTACCTTCCTGAAGCTTTAGAAGCATGGATGGGTGGGGGACTGTTTAAATTTGTTCCATCATAATTGGTCTTCCTAGCTGCTCTTCCGCTTCTAGCTGACCTGTAAATGTTAGAGGTCACCAGGGGTTAATTAAGGTCTCTCTTTAATGTCCACTTTTTCCCTTCTAGGCGATCTCATTAATCCCTGTGGCTCTATTTGCTAATGAAGCCCAAATTTATCTCTATTCAAGTCTTTTATTCCAGACTCATATAAGCAACTGCCTACTACTTATTACTGTCTCCTATTGGATATCTAATAAGCTTAATTAAAATATGCACAAGACATGCCAGGTGTGGTGGCATACACCTGCAACCCAGCACTCAGCAGGCTGAATCAGAAGGCCAAGAGTTCAAGGCCAGCCTGGGCTACATAGTGATTTCAAAGCCAGCCTGAACTATATAGCGAGACCCTATCTCAAAAAAATAAAAAATAAACATATATTAAAATATAAAATATGCACAAACAGAACTCTTGAATTTCCTTCAAAACCTATCCCAGTAGTCTTACTATACTAAATGGCTAGCAACTACCCAGGTGTTCCCAGTCAGCAACAACAACAAAAACTTACCTTTAGTAATCCTCTTTTCTTATCTCCGGGACCAAATTTATTCAGCAGTCCTGTGAATTCTGTCACTTGAATCTACTTTGTAATCTATCATGGCTTGCCCCAACTGCTGGCCTGCTCTTTCATGTCTACATACCTAACAGTCTTCTGACTTGTCTAAGATTTCTCATTAGAAGATTAAGATTTCCAAATTTAGAAGGAAGCTGCAGAAACAGTAAAAAGAAATTAATTTTTCTCAGCCAACTTCAGATATGATGATCCCATTCATTATCCTATTTCTTTAGTACTACGTCTTCTGCAATCCAAATGGAAACAAATACAATATTAGTACATTATTACTATTTAATTCAGACCACTCCTTCAAGCTTTCCAATTTTATTTTTCAATTTTTTAAATTTTTATTATTCTGTTTGCATACATAATGATTACATTCACCGCGAGTTGATGTGTGCATAACACTTCTTAATTTTTTTACTTCCCCTTTCCCTCTGCTCCCTCCCCCTCACTCCATCTCTTGGGTCCCTTCCCATTTACAAGAGATCCAGCTCCCAGTTTTCTATTCCAATCATCTTAATAATGTCCTTTGTGACTCAAAGATTTAATCCAGGATCACACACTGCGTTTAGTTGTCCTATCATTTAATGCTTCCTTATTTTTCTCCTGGTACTGAGAGTTTAAACTTAGGGCCTGCACACTGAGCTAGGTCTCCAGCACCCTCCTTTGCTTTTTAGTTTTGGAGACAGGGTCTCCCTAAATCACTAAATTGCCTGGCTGGGCTCAAACTTGTGATTTCCTGCTTAGGTCTCCCAGAATTCTGGGATTAAAAGCAAAACTACCACACGCTGGCTACTTTTAAATGTCTTCAATCAACAGCAGTCCTTGTCTTAGTATCAATCTTGACCTTCTAAGACTATGGGCCAGTTATTTTCTATAATGGCCCTCAGTTTCTAACCGGTATTTCCTCAAAAAGAGATTCAGAGTGTGCATTTTTGGCAGAAATTTCATATAAGTGACATTTTCCCCCTTCACTGCATCATATCTCATTGTGTAGTTCAGATCTTCCAAGAAGTAGATGCCAAGACGGATTAAACTTGTACTGAGAGAACACCTGTGAAGGATGAGGGGGCAGGAGGAAGCTGGGAAAGACAGTGATTAGCCCGAGGCACTGGTCTCACTGTTAAAAGGAAGGACCTCAGAATACAGTGTAGAGAAAACTCAAGCAGCAGCTGGGCATCCCCAAACTATAAGAAGTTAGCTGTCCCTCCTAGGCAGGCGTGGGTGGCAGGGCACCTCAGAACACTCAGTGATCGGCTGGCAGCATCCCAGGTAAAGCCGGACCTCAGTGGTCATGGGCACAGGCTGAAAGCCTAAGCTAGCCTTGTCCTCCACAGCATGCCCACTTGAAAGAGATCTCGGCAGGCACTGCCATGGAGACCACACAGGGACACCCAACTCTGCCCATACCATTCCTGGTGATGTTCACTTGATGAAGGTGACATCAGGCCAGGCTTCTTCATTACAGGCATGGTAGTTGCTGAATAGTGAGTTATTAGCCTCAGTCACTTTGGTGCTCAAATTGTCCCAGATTTGGTCAGCGGGGGAGTCTGTTCAAGAGTCGTCCTACCATTCTTGAAGTACTGCCTTACTTTCAGCACAGAAAAACAGCTCCAGATCCGCCTGTACTCTCCCGGCCTGCGCCCTAGGATTGGCCACTGCTCCAAAGAACAGTGGTTCCCTTTAGTAGGTAATGGTATTTGGAACCCGCATTGTTACTGGAGTATCATTGCTCCCTCATCCTCTCAGTGAACAAAGCTAAAACAAAGCAAAACAACAACAAATAGTCTCTCACTTCTGAGATTAAAGTTCCAATCCAACACCAAAAGTTTCCTTCTCAATTTCCTGCTTTCCTTATTTATAACTCCTTTATCACACATCACACAGTGAGAGATTCTATTTCATGTAGTGTGCTTCTGTTTCATTCAGTGTTCTTCCTGCTCATCCTCATGCACAAAACCAAGCTCATGACCTCATTAGATGCCATGCCACATTGTGCTCCTTTCTTGAGCAGCTCCCAACCTTCCTCTCAAACACTGCTGCTTTCCATCTCAAAATGCTCCTCTAAACCAAAGTTTGGAAACAACTCATACTATCACTGAGATAGACAGTCCAACCAATACCACCAAAATTGGATTTAGTAAAACAGCATATAAACCTAAGAAATACAAAACACAGAGGAAATAATACTAAAGAAAAATGCCAGATAACCTCAGAGACATGAAAGATAGTCATTAATTTTTATCCTTTAGTGAACAATTACATAGCAACTTCTATGTGTTGTATAATTCTATAATCTATATCCTATTCTAGAAACAGGATATGAGGCAACAAAGAACAGATATAGTCACAACCCTGTGAATAATACAAGTGCTAAAGAAAGCATTCATAAAATCAGAATCACTAATGAGACTATAGCTAAAAATGCCTTTTAGTATAATAAAAACTAAGATTGAAATAAGAATTAACCCTGTCAGAGAAAAATTTGAAAAATAGGCAGAAAGCAAGATCAAAATATTGGGAAACAATTAAATATGAAGGATGGATCAGACTTAACTATAAAATTCTACAGCTTTTAGGGAAGAAAACAGAAGTTATTGATATATATAATATCCTGATGAATATCCAGAAAACTATGCTAAGTGGAAAAGCTAATCCCTAAAGAGATTACATATGGTATGATTTTATTTATATAACATTCTTGAAATGACAACACTGCAGAGATGAAAATCACGTTCATAGTTTCTAACAATATAGCAGTCTGGGAGCTGGAGGGACATGAAAGTGGCTACCATAGAGAAACCTAAGGGATCCTTCCCGTGGCGATGAAAAGGTATTATATCTCCACTGTCTACATTCTAGTTGTGGCGATGAAAAGGTATTATATCTCCACAAGTCTACATTCTAGTTGTGATATTGTACTTCAGGGCTCTAAGATGTTACACTGGGAAAACTGGTAGAGCACACGTGGGATTTCTCTGTGTTATGTCTCACAACTGCATGTGAATTTACACTGATCTTTTCTTTTAGTATGTTTGTACATAATAATTTTGCTTGAATATATATATATTCTTGATCACTGTTAATTGCTTTTCTCTACCTCCCGTCTCCCCTTTCCCGAATTCCCTTCCACATCTCCAAAAAGCCTACCTCCCTACTTCCTACCATCTTTCTTTTTATTTGCTCTTTAAGTCATTTGTGTTTTGGGTTTTTCACATAAAAGAAATTCCATGATATTTAACCTCTGTGTCTTGATTTATTTCACTTAAGATTATAGTCTCAAGATTCACTCATTGTCCTACAAATGATTCAGCTGTATTCTTCTTTAGGCATACATAACCCGTTTTTCTTATCCTTCATTTGCCAATGGGCATACAGGCTATTTCTAATAATATCGTTAATGTGTTTTTAAAATTGCATTAAAAATTAAAAGTATGTAGGGCAAAATTAATCAATTTAATTTAGCTGTCATATGTATGTAAAAGTACAGAAAAACATTTTTAGATAAGCAATACTTAGTATCTAAGCATATGTTTCCTGCAAACATCTCCTGAATACTCAAGAGAACTCCAGGAACAGAGATTAAATGCTTCCAAATAGAGGCAGCTAGGTATTTATGGTAAGCAATATGAAGATGAGTGATGAATAAAATCTATGACAACTAGAAACTGATGTTATTCATGGTGGAACAATAGTTATTATGAATACTCTAGAAAGATAAGAAATATTACTAATTATCAAGAGTGCTGAACCATTAGAATAAAATAGGTCAACAATGACAAAACAAGATTTTTGCATTCAGTTAATAATGAAGAAGGAACAAAATGTTACCAGTGAACACTAGCTTATTTTTTTCTCCTTAAAAGGAAACAAAAATAGCATAATTTTAGATATAAATTAATAATTACAATATCAAGAGTTCTTGTCAATTACTTTAACTGTTTTAAAAATGTTAAAAATAGGGTATTTACCTCCAAATTTTATTAAATAAGTTATACTTGTTAATGTAAACAAAATGCATATAATACAAATAAAACCATAATGGAAAAAGAAAAGAAGCAAATACAATTTTTAATCATAAAATAAAGCCGGACGTGGTGGTGCACACCTGCAATTCCAGTACTTGGGAGGCTAAGGCAGGAGTATTGTTGTGAGTTTGAGGCCAGCTTGGGTTACACAGTGAGTTCAAGGCCAGCCTGAACTGCATAGCAAAACCTTGTCTCCAAAATCAAATTGTAAAATAAAATAAGAATACATGCAAACAGCATAAATTAAATAAATAATTAAATCTCAGATGAAAATAAAAAACATGCAACGTCTTTAAAATAGATAACTAAAAACAAAAAACATTTTAAATACAGCCTAGAAATTAATTTAGAAGTACAACGACATTTTAAAATTTGATTTATAAATATAATATCACAGCAGACCTTTTGTTTCAAACTTGACAATGAGAAGATATGATTTTTAAAGGTCATCTTTATTCCACAATGTGCGGAGTAAAAGAACAGAGCTTATAAATCACATTTCTATTATTGTAAGGCAAACGTGTACAAACATATTTTTATATGATTGGCTAGAAAGAGAAAAACTCTAAAGGCTTTCATACTAAACTTTAGCAGTGAATTATGTACACATCTGCAAAAAAATAAGATGCTAAAAGAACCATAACAATAACTGAAAATAATTATGATATAATAGTAAAATGGAATATAAAATGTAATAAACACATATTTTTTAATTAAACAATATGTACAGGATATTAGAGAAGAAAAATTAAATATTTTAAGGAAACAGAATTAAGGCTTCAACTTTCCAAGTTCAAATTTTTGACTAAAAATTTATCCACGCGCTCTCATCCTGGCAGTAGCACCTTATATTCATGCTTTTTCCTTTTTAATCTTTAGTTCATTTTTAATTTTTCCAGAAAATAACTGTTTTCTAAATGCAATTTATTGATATTATCTTTTTATGTAATACAGCCTCACATACACATGGGTTTGATTCTAGACTTTAGTTTCTGTTCTACAAATATAATCATTTCTTCAGATTTCAATGTCTTTCCCTATGCAATTTTGGTAAAAGAACTCATTTATTCCTTTTTTCTCCCCAAAACTTTCCTGAACAACTTCAACTAATTATTGCAGAT